TTTAAACAGCTAGCTCAAAGTGAGCGCGTGCTCATGGACATTTTCCAGATGTGAGCTCTCACGCATTACGTGCGCTCTAGTGCGCCAAAGAATGCACTTGAAACGCGATCGCAAACAACCCAGAATGTCAATAAACATACTGCGATAGGTTAATGTACATTAGTGATTAAACCCACATAGATGATGGAGCTGCACGTTTTCTTGGTGGGCGTTTTCGCTTTGGTTCAGTTCGATGACGCATAGCACAACGAAACTTTCGTACAATTGGATACATCATCTCAATTGATCGCATCACGTCACTTTCCGATGATGCTGTAAAAATATTCTTTGAAAACAACATACTGAGAGAACCTTTCACTACTCCTTCCAACAATTATTGATTGTCGACGTTTCCCAATCAGTCTCTCTTTAGACAATTTCAAGAAAAGAGCCCTTAAAACGTCTTTTACTTTAGGTTACCATAAAACCGCGTCTAGTAGATTCTCAACATGACACGGGGAACTTGTAACCACTACAACTAGTTTTAACTTGGGAAAATTCCAAAAACTCACCCCCTGTAACAGTGATACTACCAGTTGTGTGAATCCGTAGCGTTGCCTTCGGATCTTGTGATCGCCAAACCAGACCGACAGACAATTCAGGTTCATACTGTGATTGCGCTGGATATTGTTGCGCAAGCTAAAAGTAAAGCTCATGACGTCACTAATTTTGGAAAGGAACACTGTAGAATGTTCAAAAGTTTGTATAAAATACTGTTGTGGAATAAAAGATGAAGCAGATGGCCTCTACTGGCACCATCCCTCGAAGAACTGTCCAGAAAAGATGGAATAACGGTGAAAAATTCGATAAAAGCAAGCCTTATCGCAAGGAACCATGATTGGCCCTCGCAGAGAGCATGTAAGTGTGGATGAAGATTATTCCGGCCTGAAATCAATATATCGATAGGACATTCACAATCGTGCAGAGAGGTTAGCAGGCCGTTAATCGTGGCATGAGGAGACTACTAGCCGTGAGAAAAATTCGTTAAAGGCTCAAGCACATCCTGCTCATTAAATCCTACTACCTATCGTCATTATCAATTACAAACGAATCTCGAGCAGGACTCACGCTAGCATTGGGGATGTCGCCAGCGATGGGTGATATTTGGTCGCTCTAGGGCCGAACTGCTTTTGCAAAGAATCTCACGTGTAAGACTTCCCGTCGTTTTCGTTTCGGTGCGCTGTACTAACACCTCTCTCCTGTCACTACCAGTCCAGCCTATTCAGAATCGATGGTTACCTGAGGCTTCATTGTGTTTTACTCATGCTGTATGAGTAGAACGCGAAGCTCTTCTCTTCATTGAATCTTTCTATTAGGTGGCGAAAAGTTCTGTCAATAATATTTTTTGAACCCAAATATTTGCTAATTTTCTGAAAGCGCGTTAACCGGTAATATGAGCACTTATACATCAAAGAATGGTCTTTCTATTGGTATCACTGGCTTGACTCCTGCCTCTCCTTATCGTGCAATATGAACAAGAATGTTATCCGCTACCTTTGGCACCGACCCCTCCAAGTGCTTCCTCAAACTCTTTCTTCTACCGCCCTGGCGCCAGCATGACAGCTGTCGACGCCGAAATAACGGAGCTGCACATGGACAATGTCTACAGTCATCTGACAATCTTCCACGACGCTGGCTCTTCAGAGCGGGAGGCTACGGTGCGAATGGCGAAGTGATGTTTGGGAGTACCTGTGATCTCAGCTTGAGATAGCTGTGGGCCGGGAAACTACTGTATAAAGAAGCTGTCTCGGTTAATCCGTACGCAAGGCAGCTACGAGATCTGAAGCGAATCGTCAAGCAGAGGGCAAAATCCATCGGCACAGTCCGTCTTCAACGTGCTGGTGCAGCACACCCCGTCAAAAAAAAGTTCGAGCCGTACTTCATGCAAAAGAGCTGGATGGCTCTCCCTCTGCACTGGTGTACCCCAGACATTGCTCTTTCTGACTGCTAGTCGCCTCCCGTATTTAACCGTTATACAGCCGAGAAAACCTCCACGACTTGAGCCCAAGTCAAAGTTGAGATGATGTCCAACATTGCGTCGTGCCAGCCTCCATTGTGAAGCGATGGCATCCACGAAGTGCTCGAAAACTGGCAGGGATTCCGCAATGACATTGCTGTATAATTTTGATCTTGTACGCCTCTCTATAAAAAGAAAGCCTTGTTTGAAAAAATGTGACAGAACTTTCCCGCCAACCTAATACATGACACATCTCGGTATAAACCCTTCTCAGTTACTCGACACTAATGTAGAAGGGTGCCAACGAGTACAAAACAGTGTCAGGCTAACTACGCGGCAGCATTGGCAGAAATACTGCTACGCAGAAACCATCAGCCTAGTTTCTCGACAGCAGTTTTTTTTGTGTGGGGGTGGCTGGAGATTATCTAGAAAGAAACCCCGGGAACCCGTAAAAATGGTAGAAAGAAGTTGGGAGAAATTAGGCTGATGGCAGGTTGGGAAAATTTGAAGTGTAGGTCGGCGGGAAAGTTCTGTCACTTTTCCGAACTCAAAATCTTTGCCCATTACCTGAAGAGGGGTGAACGGTAATGTGAGCACTTATACATCAAAGAGTGGTCTTTCTATTAGTACCACTCGCTTGATTCCTGCTTCTTCTTCTTCTGCAATATGGACAAGAATGTTATCCGCTACCATCGCCACCGACCCCTCCAAATGTTTGATGTTACACGCCTTTCTATAAAAAGAGAAGACTAATTTGGAAAAAAGTGACAGAACTTTCCCGCCAACCTAATAGGATGGGGTATGCGGGACGGGGTCGTACCAGAGCAGGAAATGTTGAGAGGGATCGTATTTACAAGCATTTCCCCTAAGGGCACATCGCCTATTGCCCTCTTTAATAGTCAACTGCTCGAAACCTATACATAATGTGCAAGGCAAAAAACACACTGATAATAAACAAGCAGATAAAGCAATAATAGAGAGAATGGAGTGAAGATTAAAGAAGAATAAATGAGAGCAGCAGGTACTCACTTCTTCAATCTTGATACCAAACGGCATTCTACACGTAGCCAAAACATTGCACACCTAAACAGGGAAGTTTTTCGCACATGCTGATTACAAATATACAAATCTGTAAATAATTCTTAGAAAAATGTTGCTGTAAGGTTACTTTTTGCCGAGAGGTTGTTATGAAGAAACTTCATCCAGGAAACGTTGCAATCACTAGACCCCAGGTTACTCCCAAGAATATAGCGAAGCGCTACGCTTAGTAAATGAAGCAATGAAAAGGCAGCAAAAACTTCCGCGCCCGACCGTTGAGAAACTTTTGCGCCTTGTAAAAAAACAATCTATTTAAATATTAACCCATTGCGTACCGCGTGCTGCACATGGTGAAGCACTCTTAGTGTGAACTCATTTAGCATTGTTAGATGACTGGAAAGAGTCGGTATATTCCTGAAGTCGTCTGGGACAAAATATGTGTGGGGGAAATTGCGAGATTGAATAATAGCTAAGTTGCTGGCATTTTTCGAGTAATACCTCAACTATTACATTTTTTAATTAACTCTCCTTTACCAATAAAACCGAAATCCTGCTTAGTACACGACTGAAAAATTGTAAAATGGTGTGAGTGAACAGCTTCTAAGCACACTGCGTCACTTTTTTAACTCCTCTTAATTTTATCAAGCTTTTTTGGCTAGTTTCGCATTTTTCGGCTTTACACTTTTATCACGTAACAATATTGAATCCCCTTTAGCATA